TTGGTGACCTCCTGCCTAGAGGTGCCCAGCTCCATTGGTGATCTCCTGCCTAGGGGTGCCCAGCTCCTTTGGTGACCTCCTGCCTAGAGGTACCCAGCTCCGTTGGTGACCTCCTGTCTAGAGGCACCCAGCTCCATTGGTGACCTCCTGCCTAGGGGTGCCCAGCTCTGTTGGTGACCTCCTGCGAGGTTGGTGACCTCGCCCATCACCACCATCTGTTGGTCTCGTGGTTCCCGCTGCTTGCACCACCGCCGCCATTTCTCTGCCACTTGGCTCTGCTGTATTTGCCACCATTTCTCTTAGTCTTCAGTGTTACCAGCTCAGTGTTACAGCCCTTGACCCATATTACAGCTCTTTTATTTGGGTCTAGGAGGTTCTCAGCACAGAGACCCTGGGTCCAGAGACACATTCCTCTCCAGGATCTTGTGGAGCAAAACCAAACTCACTGCCGTCGGGTCAATTCTGACTTATAGTGACCCTATAGGACAGAGTAGAGCTGCCCCATAGGGTTTCCAAGGCTGTAAATCTTTACAGAAGCAGATTGCCACAAGTTTCTCCTGTGGAGCTGCTGGTAGGTTGGAACCATCTACCTTTTGGTTAGCAACTGAGTGCTTTAACCACTGCACCACCAGGGCTCCTTTGTTGATCAGGAGGTTCCCCAAAAATCTCTGTGAGTTTGGCCGCTTGTATAGGAAAACTCCTTGTTAATTCCAGGCCTGGCTTTTTTAAACAACTAATCCCTTAGGTAGATCATAAACCACCTAATCCTGTTGTAGAGAAAAGACTCCTCAGCTCCGTTGAAGTAAAATCAAAAGAGATTTATTGAAGCCAAAGTGTTGCAGTGGGAGATTGCAAAATCTCAGGCTGAAGCTCACAGATTTCAAGGAGAAATATGCAAGTCAAGTAATTATAGTGCTGAAGGGGGAAAATAAAATGACAACATTCTCATTGATTTACAGTAATCAAGGTCAGTCAGAGGTGGTACAAGTAAAGCATAATCTGTAACATTACTGGTTATATGAATATATTGATTGGCTAAAAGACATAATTGAAAGACACGGGATGAGGATGGGTTTCATGTTGGTTACAAAGCATTGACACGAGGGGTATTTTCAGGAGTGGTTGATTGACAGTTACCTTGCTCAGAGCGTTATATCTCCGAAGGAGAGTGGAAACAAAGAGTTTCTATGATCTGTCACTTTGCCCAGAACATTAGAAAGCCGGAGGAGACTGAGGTCAAAAGTTTCCTTGAAGTGTTCGTATTCTTAAGCCCGAGCACAAAGAAACTCATTTTCTTAATTACAGTGGGTTGGTTCCTAGGTGAGGAAGGTAGAATCTGGGGGAAAGGTTACCCAGAGCTGCTAGGCAGCAAATGTAAAACCTGGTGAAAGATTACATTGAGCTCTTAGAGTTAGTTCAGTCGCTTCACAGGTAGATCAGGTGCCTCTTTTTATTTTATACCCCTTATCAGTCCTATTGGGTAGATTTCAAGGCACTTACGTGGATAACGAACCAATTCTTGCAAGCTGGTTAGGCGGGTAGCAAACAGACCAGTCACTTGACAGATTGTGGCCCAACCAGTCATTTTGGGAGAATTGCAAACCCAGGGCCAGAAAGGCTACATAAGGGAAACCCATTGCACCACAGTTAGGTAATCTCTTTTCTAGAAATTCTAAAGAAGGGTATAGATACTTACTTGTAAAGGTTATTAATTTAGGTAGTATGTTGCCTAATAACTGGGGGATAGACTGTTAGTATGGGTGTAAAGAGAGAACAAATATAAACAGCACATAATTGAATGAATAAATACTTCCAGTGATCATAACGAGTAATAGAATGTTTATAGTTTGCATATTTGTCATATCTATAATTTTCTGTGTTAGAGAAATTATTTTAAAGAGATACTTTACCCTAGAAGTACTTATTTTGTTTGGGGACTGGCTCATCCAGAGGGATTGACCTGTTGTTTCCAAATTATTTTAGGACATTAAATATTAAAAAAAAATTTTTTTTATTGTACCTTAGATGAAGGTTTACAGAACAAATAGTTTCTCATTAAACAGTACACATATTGTTTTATGACATTGGTTAACAAGCCCACGACTTGTCAACACTCTCCCTTCTCAACCTTGAGGACCTTTTTTTTGGTGAAAATATACGTAGCCAAAGTTACACCATTATTTCTACATGTACAATTCAGTGACATCAATTACATTCTTCCAGTTGTGCTGCTATTCTCAGTATCCTTTTCCAAATTATTCCATCACCATTATCTTCAACTCACTGTCCCCTAGGCTTCCCATAAAACCTTTTGAGTTGCTGTTGTCCATTTCATCTCACATAGCTAATTTTTTTTTTTTTGTAACTTAGATGAAGGTTTGCAGAACAAATAGTTTCTCATTAAACAGTTAGTACACATATTGCCCTATGACAATGGTTAACAACCCCATGACATGTCAACACTGTCCCTTCTCAATCT